GGCGTGCCTCGTCTCCTCTCCTCTCTCTCCAGACCTCCGCTCGTACCTCTGCTCGTGCTCAGCCGTCCTCAACGCCTCCTGCATTTGTGCACTCGACAACATGGGGTGAAACAGGACACGCGCTTTAATTCTCTCGAACTCTGGCAAAAAAACCCGAGCGATGTGCTTGCACATGGACACCTCAGCACGATTATCACCGTATGACACCAGTCTCATCCAAAGCTGCCAACATACGAACACCAGACGAAGCTACAGTGGGGGCATACAAATCACCAAAGCCAATGTATTCCTTCTGCATATCTCCTCTTGCAACAAGGCTGGTTTTGGCCTTCGTAGGAAAGCCGAACGCATCTACCTTCCAATCAAACAGAAACTTCGACTTGAACAACTACCGATTGGTTGCTAGGGTCCAACAACCTTGAATGCATCTGCTTCTAGCAACCCAAACACCTCTCTCTTCGTCGCGTCCATGAACTGGGTGCTGTGCACGCTCTCCTTCGCCTCCTTGAATGTCTGGGGTACCCTGAGGTCCTTGGCGTGGCAGCGCGGCATGTCGGGGCGCAGAAGGGGTGGCTCCATCTCAGAGATAGCCGAATCGAGGTCGTCGCGCGTCGCAAGACGCGCTACGAGCCCGAGCGGAACGCCCCGCTCAGAGGGACCGATCGACCAACCATACCCCACGTGTCCCTTCTCGCCCGTGTCCCCCTTCGGCGGAATGCCCTTGCTTCCTGCCGCGTCCCCACTCCGAGCGCGCTGCTCGCCTCCGCCCCCCTGCTCATCATCCCCCTCCAATCCTGGCCGGAGCATCGTCTTCCCGTTCATGAGTCGCCGAGCATCCAGCATGGAGAGGAGGACATCTTCGTTCGCCTGAGCCAGCAACCCCATGGTGATCTCGGAAGGAGGGAGAGGAGTGCTGACGGCCTCGTTCGGCAGAGATGGGAATTGCCGGTCCTCCGAAAGAGTAGAGAGCTGCTGCTGTGACATGGCGCGCGCATCCGCCCTCGTGCGTCCTCGGACCCGAAGGTCTCCCTTCTCGCCCAGTTGTCTCGAAGCGTGGGGCGTTAGGGGCGTGGCGTACCCCGGTGCGGTCGGCGGCGGTCTGGTCAGCCTGGTTTGGCGTGGTTGCGGCGCTCTTCTTGGCGGGGACTGTTCAGCCTCGATGGGTGAGGGCGACCATTCCGGGAGCGGCGGCGATATCGACGGCGACGGTGACGACCCAGCGGCGGCAGCAGCAGCAGAGGACGGAGGTGGAGCGGCGGCGGTCCCCATCGCAGGCGGCCACGGGAGCGGCGACACGGCGGCACCAGGCGAAGGTGCAGGCCATGACGCAGGCCCCGGCGGCGGCGACGACGACGACGGCCCAGCGGCGGCAGCAGCGGGCGGCGGTTGAGCGGCGGCGGTCCCCGTCGCAGGCGGCCACGGGAGCGGCGACACGGCGGCACCAGGCGAAGGTGCAGGCCATGACGCAGGCCCCGGCGGCGGCGGCGACGACGACGGCCCGGCGGCGGCAGCAGCGGGCGGCGGTTGAGCGGCGGTGGTCCCCGTCACAGGCGGCCATACTCAACAGCTTGCTCGCTTGCTTGGCGGGGCAATATACCAGATCATGTTTATAACCCAAGTTGAAGAACAATACCACGAAAAAGAACACCTTACAATGCAGAGGTATTGACCAACTGGTTCTCTAGGCATCCTCCTACAGACTATATCCCCAGTTGGAGCTCTCACTCACCGTCTGCCATCGCTCCCCCGCGGAAAAGTAATGGCTCACCGCTGTTGCTCCTCCTCCTGCTGCTTGCCAACATGGACAGCGCCGGTTGCCCGGGCGAGCGCCATCCGAAACCTGAGCCCCGGCTAGACGACGAAGAGATCCACCTCGACGAAGAAGATATCCACTTCGACTGCCCTGGCTCTAGCCCTTGTTGCTGCTGCGACAGATGAACGGTGCCAGACGCTGCGAATGCTGCTCTTGTTATCAAGGACAAGAGCCTGGTCCTGCCGACCCTAAAGACAACGATGGTGCATCAAGTGTGCCCCTCTGCGACAGGAAGAAGGGCCTCCTAGGAAGGCCGCTGCAAAACCTGCTCCATGTTTAGAAGCCAACGGAAGGGTACAGAAAATAAGTCGCCTATGCTGCATAGCGGGCTGCTGCCCGGGTTGTTTCGCTCTCCATCAGCCATGCGGATCTGCCATGCGGACAAGAAGACCCGCTAGACGCCGCTGGAGGCAGCTGGAGGCAACTGCTCTGCCAAGGGCGCCGCTGTATCGTTTTCGTTTTATCCCCTATGGTATGTTGTTTCGCGGAGCCACCTCGCGGTTGCTTGTTTGCTTGCCTGCCGACCTGCGACGCATGTGTCATGATCACAGGCACAGAGCATGTCGTACGCGTCACCCGTGCGATCACGCTGGTCAGCCGCAGCATCGTTCAGAACACTATTGCGCCTTGCTACCCTTAGCACCGGAATCGTTCGTTGCGGCGCGTGGCTTGCAGTGGGTCCTCGAGGACGTGCGAGCAGTATCTCCGCCTTTGTCGGCAGCAGCAACTCGGCCGTCGCCAGATCACGCAAGACCAGCGTCAACAGCATGGCTGCAAGCCCTCTCATGGAAGGTGCAGGGGATCACATCCAGCGGGTCGATACTCTGGAAACCGAGAGAGCGCTTGTCAGCAAGTAAGGGGACCACCTTAGCTTGGGTATTGGGTATCAATCAGTCGGACGATTGTTGCAGTAGTCTAGGTCCGCAACGTATGCGTCGGTGCTCGCCGCAGGCAATGCTGCTGCCATGTAGGGAGGGAGCAAGCAGTGACTGCCGCAGTGCCCAAGTAGAATGTTTTGCACCATCAAGCCCTAGGACATATGAAGTACAGCATACCATAGTCACGTCTATTTTGAGCCCATTATTCCTCGAACGCAACGGCCGTGAATCATTAGGTAGGGTTTCGCGAAAGCGATGTACCGCTGTCCTGCATCTTTTACTGCGAAGTTGTTTCTGAATCGATCGGTCGTTCGTCGCCGTCGGATGGTGTTGGGAACGGTACAGCAGTTCTAGGGTCCGGTCGGGTCCCTCGGGCGGCCTTGGGCAGCCTTGACCGATCACGCCGTCGTCGCACGCCCTTACCGAGACAAAACGTGCCACGTAGCAGAGTGGTGTGAGCAGCCGCTGCAAACCCGGAAAAGAGATCTGTACAGTAGGTCTGGGAAGGCGGAAGATATATATACGGTTCGACCCAGAATTGCGGAGATTTCGGACCGAACTGCTGCCTTCTACAGCACAGCCCGGACAGCAGTACATCCGGACGAGCCAGCACGCATGTCACTGCTACATGATCCTTTTTATGGGCATGGCAGTTCAGATCGGGACTCCGCACAAGCGAAGGACCCTTCAAAGCTGCTGCAGGGTTGGCTTGTCTTTAGAGTCGTGAAATGTTTGTTATGCCGTGTACTTGATAGGATTGGTGCCGCTTCAGCACGTGGTGCGTGACAGTAGAGAACGCCATCGACGCCATCGGCGGCAGCGGAAGACAACAGTTATTTTTTCAAATCGTTGTAAACCGGGCTCTGTGTTAGCTGCACACGTTCTTGTACCTCGCTAAAACCTTGTCGTCCATGGTCGACCTCTCTGCCTCAACGTCGCATTGGATGAAAGGTACGAGGCCTTCGTGTTCGATTGCGATGGCGTTTTATGGGGAGGCAGCCACGCCATCGAGGGTTCACGTGAGTACATGCGCGTCAAGCACAAGGCACCGCTTCCCCTCTACCACGGATGACACGAGAGGGAAAGCTACAGCGTGATGCACGAAAAATTGGTGTGTGTCTACAGGATTTGGGAAACATCAACACTTAGGACTTGGAATACGACGAGCTTGGCGGTGGCTCATAGGAGCTCCTCAGGTCCACCGTGATAATTGGGCAAGTTTAGTTCAATGGCACAGCAGTAATGTGAAACAGGGAATTATCCTACCTTGAGAACACCACTTCATCCCGACACATGCCCGTTTCTTTCCGGCTCTTCGCTGTCACATCCCGCCATCGCTGCCGTTGTCATGATGTGGTAACGACGTGCACCAATAGTGGACACGGTGAAGGCGCTACGGCGCGCCGGCAAGCGCACCTTCTTCGTGACGAATAACTCGAGCAAGAGTCGAAGACAGTACTGTGTCAAGCTCGAAGGATTTGGGGTGCACGGCGTGGGTGTCGAAGACATCGTCACATCTGGCTCGGCGATCGCTGGTGAGAGAGCAGCGTGGGTTGATCTCCGAACAGTCGCTGGTGGTGTCGCCGACAATCCATGCCTGTGTTGGCTCGGGCCCAAGATTTTTTTGTAGCGTAGGCAACAGCATGCGTAGTCACTTCCTCCTAATGTTCATGTGAGAAGCTCGCACCTAACCGACGCAACCTCTGTCCTCATTTGGAGACTTGTCGTGCTCAAGCGTTTTCGCGACTTGTACTGTAGCAGACACTATTCCCTCACATGTTCTCGCATCCAAACAAGGCTCTCATTTCCTTCTCTTGATCGTGTTTGTTGCACGTTGTTGTTCAGCCTACGTTAAACTCTCTCACCCGGATGTACAGACCGTATACATGATCGGGGAGGAGGGGCTCGAAGAGGAGCTTGAGATGGTTGGGCTGAGGGTCGTGAAGGAGGAGGCGAGGCCAGCTCCGGGTATGACGGAGGACGAGTTTCGTGAGAACGTCACGGACCCAGAGGTACGGCATGTTTTAAGTGTGGTACCATGTTGAGCGTGACGCTACATTGGTTGTCGTGGTTTGCTGTAGGTGTTGGTATCGGTGGTAACGATGGTGTTTGTAGAGATGAGGCCGCTGGTGCTAGTATTAGCTGGTGTACCGGTGTTTGCATGAGGTGCTCCTCTTAACTCCGCCCGCCAACTCCCCCCAGAAAACGGAGTAACCAGAGTACGCTCTCGGAAACGAACCCATGCATATCGTGTTCTGCAAATTAGCATTTTTTTTAGCCCTGCTTATCTCTCCCAACCCACCCACATTCTTGGCGCTCTTCGTCGGCCAAACTAGGTTGGGGCTGTTGTCGTGGGACTGGACACGTCCTTCGGGTTTCGCCAGCTGTGCGTTGCCTCCAGCTACATCCAGAGCGGGGCTCACTTCTTGGGGACAAACCCGGACGTCGCCGACCGAGTGGGAAGCCTGCTCATGCCTGGAACAGGGCCTATGTTGACCAGCATACAAACAGCCTCAGGGGTAAGGCGGCCCCTGCCTGCCCATCTGCAAGACTGTTGGTTGGGGAACGAGGAAGGGGATGGCATTTCGCGTGATTCGACGGGAGTTACGACCCACGGGCTTGTTTGTCTCTTCTCGTCTCGGCATGCATCGATTTGCCCGAATATTTGCATTTTCAGAAAAGCGTTCCTGCGGGTGTTAAAGTGTAGCTCTGCCGTCGCTTGTCTCTCTTTGATGAGTTTCCTCTGTCGGCAGCCTCTCCACTCACGCCTCTCGCGCACCTCGAACTCTTTTCCAACTGTTGTTCCCGTCGCGTTTTGGCACAAGCGTTACGCAACTCAAGCCGGCGCCTGTTGCTACTATCATTGCGAGTACCCCCCTCGTGCTAGCAGAACCCGAAACAAGAACCACGCCGGCCTGTTGTACTTCTCTAGGTAACCGAGCACCCCCGTGAGAAAGACGTGCACGCGTTTGCACGCAACTCCGCCCCCCTCCCTCCCCCCCACCCCGAGGACTAGAAGGCCGACGTTTTTCCTTAAATCGTCCGATTTTCTTTGTCGATTTTTCGATGCCAATTTGAACGAAAAACACTCGCACACGTAACGCTTGCACGCGCTGCAGGTGGCACCAGTGGTCGTCGGCAAGCCCAACCCTCTCCTCATCCGCCAACTGATGGACCAGAATGGCCTCGCAGCATCCAAGACGCTCATGGTCGGCGACAGGTTGGACACGGACATAATGTTCGGAAACGCCGGAGGGGTTTCCAGCGCGCTGGTGTTGACAGGGGTCAGCGAGATGTCCGATGTCGTGGGGCTGCAGGCCGGCGGGGACAAAACGCCCACATATCTCCTGGAAAGGTTGGGAGCTTTGTTGCCCGCAGCGACCGAGGCAGCAGAGGCGGCGACAGAAACTTCGGCCGTCGCAAAGATGTGAACGAAGCATTTCGAGACTTTTTTCGGTTTGTGCTTCGCCATGTAGCTGGGGGGTGCGGGCGAGTGTCGCTCTCTGTCAGACCGCGGCATTGACATGTTTCTTGTCGATTGAGGGCTTGCAGCACACCTAGATGATGAGCACACGACAACGATACCACGATACCATGGCTTGATAGTTTTGTTGCTCCTGGCTAGAGAAAGTTTTCAGGTTCTTCTACGAACATGCCGCTGACGCCACATGAAAAGTTGATATAATTGTACTCTCTGGCCATTGGAGGGTTGGATCCCTCGGCCTCTTGTTACAAACGCTCTCCTGAAGCGGCGGTTGTGGGCTATTAGAGCCGTGCGTGTGCACGGATCGCGGCTACTTTTTTGGTAAGAGGCTACAGGTCTCGAAATTGAGGGGGGGAGATAAAAGTGGTACAGGAGAGAGTTGTGCACGGGGCTCTCCTCTGAGTTGACACGCCTAAGGAAGCAACAGCAAAAAAACGTCCCGCCCTGGGCCGAGCGAAACACGCGTACGGAGTGTCTCGAAATCCGCTCACGCGAGAACGAAACTCATGTACCCCATTGGCTGCGTTCCACTGAACGAAGGGTTCTCCAAGTAAGGTCATTCCTCAGAGGGGTCGTTCCACAGATTGTTTCGAGGTCATCCTGAGTACATAGGAGATGCCGTTTGTGTGTGTTGTTCAGATCATTTCGTTTCTGAAGCACCTTTCTGGTGGTTGAGCGTCTTCTACTGCTACTAAAACAGGCGGTGAATCGGTTTTAGGTACTAGTGTTCGGCAGTTATACGAAGAAGAGTCTACATGTTTTCGATGGGAAAAGCAATCTCCGTTTACGGGTTCACCGTACCGTTCAGCCTTATACGGAAACTCGCTTCCTCAGGGGTTCCGCGTTCGTCTTCAGCTGCCGCTACGGTGGCTTCGGTCCTGGATGCTCCCAAGATTTCGACCTACCTGAGCCAAGGGAAATCACCATGTCCCACCGAAACACTTGTCGGCTCCAACGACGAAGCATCGTCCCAATCGTCCACCAGTAAGTCTCTTAAGCCTGGGATGGGAGTCACGGCAATGTTGGCAGGGGCCTGGCCGGCCTATCCACATGCAATGCCTTGTCGTGGTCGAACGATTCCGTGGCCAAAGAAGCTCACCGCCCATCGCGACTTGTTCTAGACAAGAAACACGATATGTCCGGACTCTGCGGTTCGAATAGCACCAGCGTGAATAGCAAGTCTGATGCCATCTTTGTGAACAGAATGGGGAACGACAAGAGTAGACGCCATGTGGTGTTGCCTCTCACAGGAGCAGCATCAACAACAACACCCCATGCGCCTGGACCGCGAGGACCGCAAGGTTGCCTTCAGGTTGACGCAAACGAACTTCTCCTCCTACAGGAAGACTTGGGCGCCGCAAGGTGGTGTGGGGAACATGCAGTGAACGAAGCTCACAATAACGCTCACTTTGCTTCGCTCTGTGAACGGAGATGCACCCAACATCATACATACAAACACCCAAGTTCATGCAGTGAACGAAGCTCACAATAACGCTCACTTTGCTTCGCTCTGTGAACGGAGATGCACCCAACATCATACATACAAACACCCAAGTTCTCGTGGCAATAAAGAATCGCCCTTCCACCCCAATTGAACACAATCAAACCTTCCTACACCTCGTGGCGACAGCTTTTCCCATACGTACATATGTACCGGCACTTGGTTGTCCCGGTAAACGCCATCCTTTTATGCAGGCGCCATCGCATCTCCGCCAATATATACAAGCCTTCCTCTATGCTCGCGGCTACCGCACGATGACTGTCGGGCGAGCCCGGCACGGTTGCGCTTCCTCGGCATCTGCCACCCCGCTATGCAGAGATGTAGAGAGATGAAAACAATGTGTATCGCAGGCAGGCACCAGCACTGTACTACACCCGCGGCACAACTCACAAAGGTTCGCAACCATGCGGAACTACAGCATTAACTCACAACAAGGTGATTTGGAGGTAGACAAGGCTCCATGCCCGCAACCATTGTCAACGTCATTAGACTTCGAGGGCAGCAGTGCCTACCGCTTGGATTTTTGGTCGAAAGTGTGGGATTCGATGGTCTCCATGTCAGAACACGACACCACCTGTTTTCACGCTGGCACGCACCATCCAGCAGGTAGGTGTGCACCAACGTACAGTAACAGTAGCATCCAGCAGGTGTGCACCAACGTACAGTAGCAGCATCTATTCACGGCGCACATCAACCAGTCGTGTTAGGGTTTTCGTGGTTGGCTTTTTACACAGGTGCCCAAAGAAAGGTGCAAGTTGCGGCAGGTTGGACACCAACCACATCCTGTGGAAGCTTGGGGTTGAAGGGTAGGAGGACGGGATGGAACCGAACACGTCATTTTACTCTCTCTGTGATGCCAGCCCGCCCTAGTGGTTGTGGATCAAGGTTGCATTCCGCCACGGCAGAAGTAGCTGTAAACGGTAGCACACCCTGAGGTTTTGGCTATGTGCCAGGTCGTGCTACTGCTGTACCACAACCTTTTACCTCCAGGTCATGACCACCTGTATTGGGAATACAAGGGATTCAAACCAGAATAATAATGCAAGTAAAGCGGAGTAAAAAGGACTGCTGTGTCGTCTGCGTCTGGCTGTGCCAACTATTTCTTTCCAGAAAGACGTAAAGGTTGCCTCTGGAAAGGTATCTAGTAACATCCATTGTCAATGCATAACGATAAGAATATTGTCAATCAATGAATGTATTCAAGAGGTTGTTTTCGCGCTAAATTTATGCACCATAAATATATTAGAAGGAGCAGCAGTGGATTATGAACGTTTGTATCGATTGTCAATGACAACGTTGAGAGTGTAGAGTCGATTGATTGATGTACTCGTCGATGCGTCAGAGTCCATGTATCGATGGGCACATGGTACACAACAACGATTTGGATATCAACCGCAACGGCCTTGTGTTGGCTGAGCAGTGGCGTTCGTGGGTGTGATTTCCATCAATATAATAACTTGACACATTGTGCGAGAACCTCACGAGGGCAACACTATAAACAGAAGGAAGTGGAGCGCGCAAAAACAAACCACATCACAGCCCATCCATCGATTGTTAAACGTCTGCGGTAGATCAGGATGGACATTGATGGGCAGGTTTGTATCCTGAATGGGGGGTTGTGGCTTCGGCAGGCGACTATACGTACGTTGTGGTCCATTGCTGGGAACTGACAATATCCATCGCGATTTTATTGCGTTCGGGGTTCGCATGTTTGCGAAACATAGACTTAACTGGTGTATCGCCGTTCTTCTCGTGATATTGGGGACAAAGGAATATATTCATATTACGAGCCTTAGTCTATATATATGCACACAACCCGACATGTATGTACTGTGGGCAGCAAGTCGACCATTGTTTTCGGGAAAGCCCGTAGTGCCAATATACTGTGCTTCGTGAACATTATTAGTCCAGGGCGGGTGTAGCAAATCAACCCTTCTCTGCAAACATCAACAGAAGGCAGTCCCAAAAGAAGGCACAATGGTCTATTCATAGAAGCGGACAGGCGTAATCACGCACAGCGCGTTACTTACTCTTGTCAACTTGCAGTATGGAAGGAACCTTGTACCAGGCAACAGCGACATAGACTAGTCTATGTACAGAGTATCCAATTGGAGTATTCAAGTTGGGAGAGGTTCCAACCACACTACTATTATCCACCTAAAAAAATAAAACTAAATGCTATGGCGGTTCACATCGATCGTCGATGCACTTGTGTACATGCAGGTGCGAAGCCTGCTGGTTGTACAGCCATGGATCATACCTTTGCTGTACGCTGCGTTGCAGCCTGAAAGTCTAATCAGACAAGCTAGCTAGGTACCACATTGTTTCCAAAATGTATGGCTACACCAGACCAGCCGTCGTCCGCGGTCTTGCTCCTCTTTGGATCTACTGCTATTAATAGTACTGTGCATGAGGTCACGAGACCCAAGCTACCTCGGTACTTTTTTGTGCCGCACGAAAGGTCCGGAGGTTCGCGAGAATCTGGTTGTTTGTCGAGCTCGCCGCACCACAGCAGTATGCATACCAGCAGCAGTGTCTTCGAGGAACGGCTGTCAAAATCCTGATGGTACATACTACTTGGGATCGTGTGAATGCCAATCCTCCAATAATAGTTAGTTGCTTATATCTGTTCTTGTATTACGTAGTACAGCAGTGCTGGAGAGTAACGAGTTGCACTGCTGTACACACCCTGCCGGCTGGCAGAGCCAGTACTAACGCAGAGCCAGTACTGCTACTGCTGTACTACACAGCATACAGCAGTCCTACTGTACAACAAACGGACCATCTCATAGTCTAGGGAAGGGATTCTCGACACAGGTAGTACAAAATAAAGTGGTACACTTTTCGATTTTTTTTTTTCACGAAACGCGCTGCTGTGAATCAAAGCAGAGGCTTATAGCATTTTGGATGCATCGGTGAAGTCATCCCCAGAGAAAACACACACACGACCACGTACCTGGAGAGAGAGGTGTTGGAAACCGCGCGAGGTGTTGTTGCAACTATGATATCCAGAGGGAGAAAGAGATCGAGATGAGGTCGGTGCGGAGAGCGAAAAAAAAAAAAACATCCATCTGGTATCCGTCCGGTGGAAGAAGGAGGGGATGGAAGTGACAGTCGAGAAAATAACTCGCTGTCGGGTTCAGAGCCCGCATCACAGGGGCAATCGAAGTATCGAAGTCACAGCCGCACCCCGCAGAACACCACACCAGCAGGCAGAGACAGACCGGAGACCCTTTGCGCTACCCAGCAACAACAAACCCGCGCCGGAGAAGAACGCTTGCTGCCCCGCCCCCGCCCCGGAGTAGGAATTCGCTGAGGAGTTCAACATCATGGCTCCGAAGGTAAGTTGTTGCGCTGATTGACTTCAAGCGTCCGTCCCTCTCTTTAGGTGCAGGAAGGGACTACATACCGACTGTATATATCTACCCACGTTGGGAACTACTTGCAATAGGTACGCTGGCGGCCTTCGTTGCTCGAAAATATAATGCCACCAGCTGGCAATCTGATGGGCGCCAGGTGGCCTACGAACGTGACCAACCCTGACCGAAAAGTGCTTGTTGGCGAGAGAGCTAGGTTGCGTGACTGGATTTGCCCATCGGGGTCTGGGCGTTCGGACCCGGAATCCGGGCGCAGCAGCTCGGCAAAAGGGCGCGCCCTTACCCCAACCAAACAATCTCTGTCGGCTGGTAGATGGACAGCGTTTCCAGCAGGCGCACCGGACTGACGATTTCGAGCGAGCGCGTGTTCTGCGCGTTAGGTTTGGGAGGAGCTACACAAACACACACGCGTTTCCGGTGGTGACTCACACCCAAGTAGCAAACTTTGAAATTTGTTGTTTTTTTCGACAACAATCGCTTGACGCGGATCCGGCCGGTAGGGGTTGGTGACGTGTGCGACATGTGTACGGTCCCCCGCCCTCCTGCCCCCCTACACTTTCGAAAACATTTGTATCGTTGTTGAGGTATCCTAGCTGCTCCGGGTTGACGAATTTGACCGCGTTTGCTTTTACCCCGGCGTTCTGTCGGTTTTTAGAAGAATCACTGACCCCTTGGTGAAAAACCGCTGACCAGCTCGCCTCTTTCGGGAGCACTTTTTTCTTTGCTTTCGAGACGCGGAGATCGATGTATCTGCCTGTCTGACCATCTTGTACAAAAATCAAAATGACAAGACAAAACCCAGAGCGGCCGCCTTTGTTGGTTGCTAACGCAGGATTTAAAAAATAACTCCGAAGAGTGACGGTTGAGGCCGGCCATGAGGGTTAGGTTATTGGGTAACGTGTAATATTAGACTAGTGCTTTAGTCTACTGTAGTCAGGTCGTCAGCGTGAAGTGGTGTTTTCCGACGACGGGTAAACAGCAGTATACACACAGAGCAGCTGTTGTCCTCACTTCATAGTATATTCAAGAGCCTCGGACTGTACAGGCATTGAATAAAAATGTCACAACCCGCCCTGGCAATCTGCCGGTTCGCACGGAGTACTACCCACGTAATCATGCGTGTCATGTGTAGGTGAAGTTATCATCCATTGTTAAATGACACGTCGGCACAAGACAATGTGGTACCAATCAACAGAAGGGACCAACATCAAATCAAGTTTGTGCGCAACACGGCATCGGATAAAAATACCTAATGTACGTGTCTGATATCCCCCCCCCCCCCCCCCCCCCCCCCCCGAAAACAAATTTTGGGGTCCCCCCTTAAAAAAAAAAAAAAATCAAAAACCCCCTCCCCCCCGGTGAAAAAAAAAAAAAAAAATTTTTTTGGGGGCCCGGGTAATCCCTCTTTTTTTTTTTTTTTTTTTGGGGCCCAAAACGGGTTTTTTGGAAAAGGGGGGTGGGGGGGTGGGAATTAACAACTTTAAAAAAAATTTTTTTTCCCCCCCGGGGGATTTCCTTCTTTTAAGGT